TTAAAATAGTTGTCTAATAATCAGTGAATATATTTTATTATGGTGCTCATTTGTATTTTATAGGGGTATTTTCTAAATAATCTATAAAAATTTATTTTATACTAAAGATATTCATATGGTCTTTGTTACATTTATTATAAACATTTCATCCAAGTTTTCAGTCTGTCTTTTAATTTATGATATTTTTGGTTTATGGAAAAATTTAAATGTAATCATATCTAGTAATCTTTTTCTTAATGGTATCTGTCTTTGAATTATCAGAAAGATTTTCTTCAAAATTATTTTTTAAAAATCAATTATATTATCACCTAGTAATTATATGGTTTTACTTTTACCATTAAACTTTTAACTTCATTTGATTTTTTTCCCAAAAATCTAATTTCTACTAATTTGAAATGCCACTTTTCTCATATGTTAAAAATTGTAATCAATTTCATTGGCTAGTTTTTTTATATAGAAAAGATTATACATGTGATCCTAGCCAAAAGAAAAAAAAGTTTCAAACAGTACAATAGAGTTTAATGTGAAATCTCTCTGACCCCTTACTTTCATTTCCAAGAATTTCTCTTATTCACACATTAAATTTCTGGATATACTGTAGCATGCCTTTTTATTCTTATCCAGTTTTATTGATTTTCCTTTCTATTTATCTTTCTATTTTTAAAATGAAAGTGCCTCCTTATCCCTCTTCTCTTACAGAACTTTCCTGGCAATGTGTCTAATGGGTTATTAAGGGAAAGTTAGAGACATTTAGAAGCCACCGTCAGAAACTGGATATTTGCCTGATCGGTTTTTCTTACATTAATATTTGTTAGGAGAAAGAAAAAAAAGAATGTTGGTAATATTTCTGTAAGTTAAAAAAACAAAGCAAAATCCCAAACTCCGTAAGTTTGCAAGTAAAACAAACAGCAGAGAAGCTTAAATTAGAGTTTGTTATATGTGGAAAACAACTTAGCAAAAAGATGGGCGTCAGAGTTCTTGATTAAGTCATGTGGGGATCATCGTGCAATAACGGGTTATGTTGATTTAAAAGACTATTGAATTTTTTCTGTTCACTACCTTACTTTCCAGTTAAACTTAGGCAGGTGGCTAGTTTTATTGCTGTTCAGTTCTAGAGATTTCACTAAGTTGACAATGATTTAAAAAACAATGTTAGTTTGGGAAAATGTGATTTTATTCTTCTCTAGAAGACTTTATGGTAACATGTACTACTTTAGGGTCATGTATATCTTAAGTTGTATCGAGTCTCTTGTGTATGCAGAAATGTCTTGTATGGATGTTGTTTTTTTAATCTAAATAGATACACAGCAAATTCCTATGCCTAGTAAAACTAGACTTTCTGAAATAACTAATAACTTTCTATTTATTGATCTCTTTTTAGTTCTTCATCTACTTGTTTTCTGTCACTTAATTTAAGGACAAGCTAAAATTTTAGCTCTGCCATTTTCAAACTGCATAACCTCTCTTCCATTATAAAAAATTGGGTAAAATATTGTATACTTCAGAGGACTGTCATAGGATTAAATTAGGTAGCATAAATAGAAGAGCCTGATACAAACTTGCAGGCCCTACCACTTTCCTACTCAGTAGATAGACCAAACTATAAAGTAGCAGCTCCCTTAGTTTTATTTCAGTAATTATACACTATCTTTTTTGTACTCTTCTGCCAGCTCCTCTCCCTCATCATTTGAACATGCTCAAGTCTTTGAATCATTAAAAAAAAAAAAAAAAAAAAAACTGCTGCCACCCTCACTGTCCCCAACTGAGTCCCCACAGCAGCCCTCTCCTGTCTCCTCTTGATGGCCAGTTATTTTGCAGAATGTTGCTCCGTTTAGGTTTGTCTGATGTTCCCCATGAATTGCTTGAAATTATGCCTTTTTAGCAAGAACACCATAGAAGTGATGTGCCCATCTCAGGGCATCGTATTAGGAGCCTATTAATAGTATGTGAAATTGATACATCTCATTATTGGTCACATTTATTTTGATCACTTGGTTAAGATGCTATCTGCCAGGTTTCTCCAGTGTTGTATTATTTTCCACATTGTCATTAATACAGTATCTTGTGGGGAGATATTTTGAGTCTATAAAAATATCCTGTTTCTCATCATACATTTACCCCCTCATTTGCCATTCATTAATGGTAAAATAACTATTGCCTCCAACAGTTATTACTATAGCATTTGCCAAATGGATCATTTTCTATTTTTATCATTTTTTAGTAGTAGAGGTTTTTCACTTGGGGTCCCTACTCTGTGTGTGTGTGTGTGTGTTTGCATTTTACTCTGGAGAAGAGGTGCAAAACTGATCAAATTTTCAAGAGATCATTAGACAGTGTTATCTTTTTTCCATCCATCACAACTGTCTCAACTTTATGGTCACAGCACCTTCATTAGAGTAGATGAAAGGAATACTTTATGTATTTGGCTTCTGTTTCTGACGTCTTTACATAGTTTATTTTTAATTCCTCTGAAAAGATTCAATGCTTAGAAGACCAAAGTATACCTGAGGTGAATAAAGCAGAGCTGCAGTGTTTGTTGTTGTCCTATGTTGTCAAGACTTTGTTTTCCCTGGCCCACAGTTGGTGAATCACTAAATTTTGATGTGTATATTTTAGTTTTATCTCAGAGAACATGCATTTTCACCCCTAAGGAGTTTTTAAAAGTCAAATACAGTATTTATTCTGTCTTGTAGCAATGATTGATAAAAATTTTAGCTTTTTAAAAATGGTATTGCCACAGGTTATGATAACTTAATTAGTGTCTTTTTTTTTTTACTCTGAGCTACGCTTTCTTGGAGTAAATATATTCTTGTGAACAAAAGCTTAATTGAGACCTTACCTGAAACATGAATTTTTGTAAGAAGTAGTTTGTATTTTGACTGTTAATGTCCCAGAAACTATGCCTATGGCTTTGTCTTTTACACAGCTAGCAAAAATGAGATTCTTATTTTATTGTTCTTTAGGAGCTACTAGTCCCTTCCATGCATTTTTTTTTCAAATAAAGCTATGATAATAGGATGACTAGTTTGGTAGAAGAGAATTAAAATATTTGCAGTAATGATGGATTTGAAGGATCATTCATGAATTTATATTCTTAACATAGATAATCATTTCGAGTCTAATATGGCTTTCACAAAAGTTTATTCTTTTACAATAATACAAACACACTTGAAATAAACTAAGCTCTACTATACAGTATAAAATTAACAGTTTATTAAAAGAAGGCAGTATGTAAGATTGATTTAGCAATGCCTCTTTTCTACACTTAGAAAATGTACAGCTTTGCTACTACAGGAATTTCTTTGGATATGAAATATTAAAAAATAGAGATATATTCCCCCCTTCAAACAATCAGATCTTTTTGGACTAATTACTATAGGGAAAATTAAGGAAAGGGGTTGGTATAAGTAGAGACAGACTTTCTAGTAAAGCATTATGTTATATACATGTGTAGGAGGTTGTAGCCAGTTCATTGTCACAAAAATACTGCATGTGATGCAACTAATGTCAAGAGACAATGTTGGAGAGGTAGGTAAATGCCAAATTGTGATAGGCTTATATACCAAATTAAAAAACTTAAACTCCTAGGGAGAAGATCTGAGAGGTAAGGAGGGCCTGGAGTAGGGGAGGGGGAGAAAGGAATGAGTTCAAGAAATATTAAGAAAGTTAAATGATCTAGATATAGTGATAAATTAAATGTAGGAATAAGATAGGAATCAAGGGTCTGGGCATGAATGAATGGTACTCCTACCTAAAATACAAAGTAGAAGAAGAGAAGCAGGTTTTAGGGGAAAATAGGATATGTTCAGTGTCTTACAGGGCAGCTAGAGGTGCTTATGGGGTCTGGTTGGAGACATCCAAGTGATGGGACTGCATAGTTCTAAAAAAGCTTGGGGGAGCATGAGATGAGGGATCATTAGCATAAAGGTGATGGTTGGAACTGTGTGATTGAATAAGATTTCTCAGGAAGTACCTTGTAGAGAAAGAAGAGCTGAGGGTTAAGGATGTAATTCTGGGCATCACCTATGTTTAATAGACAGGCCGAAAAGGAAAAACAGTTTTTCTAAGAGAATGCAGTGTCATGGAAACCAGAGAAGACTTTTTAAGAAAGGAGTGAGAATATAAATTGAGCACCTTAATCCTTTGTTGTTGAATGCCTCAGAAGAAACATGACTGAAGTTTTCCTTTCTAAATAGATTTTCAAGGATTTTGACCAAAATGCAGTTTTTTTCTATGTTGTTAAGGACCTATCAGTTAAAGGAGAATGTGTTTTCATGTTTTTAGTGATTTTTTTCTTTTTGTATTATGGTTTTCCTGTCTCTTGTCACTTGGGGGTTTACTTTATTTTCTATTTTTCTCCATTAATAATTTTCTTAAAATTTATTGGAAGACTTATAGTACCAGTTAAGTCAGTCTGATGTAGGCCAGTGTAAAACTTGACCCTTTTTCTGTTTTGCTAAGTGTGTAACATTGTCAGCATCGAGAATCACACTTAAACCTGAATTCATTTTGAGGATGACTCATGCTTACAAACCTTACAGTTTCCAAGCCTTCTCACCTAGCTTATTTATTTGATCCTCACAAGAAGCTTGTGGGATAGGTAGGGCAGATTGCTATCTTCATTTCTCATTTCCAGTTATAGAATCTGTTCCCTTGTTTAATTATGTCACTTGCACATAGATAGCTGTTAGTTTTTGATTTCATTGGGTATATAATTTAAAATGTTAAAGCTGAAAGGAACCTTAGGGGTCTTCTCTTCCAGTCTCTTTATTTTACATGAATTTATACAATATTTTACATGAATAAACAGGCCCAAAGAGGTAAAATCACTTGGTTAAGATAATACAGGCAGAAAAAGCAAAACAAGATCTGGAACCCAGCTCTCCTGATTCCTGGTCCCTATAACAAGAACCGCAAGTTTAATTGGCATTGTAAGTAGAATTAGGTCAGGCTCTGCAACTTCGATATTCTCATTTTGCTTTTGTGCTTCTTGGAAATAGTGTGCAGTTCGTGCAGCCACAGAAGGCCGAACTCTCGTTTTGGAAGGCTTGGAAAAGGCGGAGAGGAATGTTCTGCCTGTTTTGAACAACCTGCTGGAAAATAGGGAGATGCAGCTTGAAGATGGACGCTTCCTGATGTCTGCCGAGCGTTACGACAAACTTCTCCAAGTAAGAGAAGAAAAACTGGCTGCCTTATCTTTGTTGTCGAGCTGTGTGTGGGTAGTGCCATTTTGTTGTGTAAGTCATGGTTCTATTGGAATCAGGACAGATGTTCAGAAGGCCCTTATCTTTGTAAAATTGCCACCATGAGTTTGGAGTTTTATAAGGCTTTTCTGTTTTCAATGTCAGAACACGTCCCAGATTTTTACTGTCTTTTTTTTTTTTGGTCAGTCTAATAACTATTCTCTCTTTCCCACTTTTTTTCCTTTTGTTTTTCTTCTTATCTCCTTTTTGTGCCCTTCTCTTCCTTCTCTCAACAACTATTACTAAAAGCCTAATGACTTCCAAACAGTGCTGGGCACCAGCGATATAAATTGAATAAAGTTCATTCCTTAACCTCAGGAAACTAAAAGTCCAGTAGGTATTGACAGAAATGAATAAAATATTTTAAAAGATATGCTGATAATCCAAGCCACCAGCATCTTATGCCTGCATTGCTGTAAGAACCTTCTGATTGTACTTCCTGTTTCCATCTTTGCTTCTCCACTGTTATCAACACAGGAGTCAATGATTGTTTTAAGATGCATCAGGTTGGGACACTCCTATACACTAACTCCAACTGCTTCAGTGCCTTTTAAGATCTGGGGCCTCACTACCTCTTGCCTTATCTCCTATCTTCCTCCCCTATTATTCCAGCAACTATACCTTAAACATACTAAGTGGGCATTCTGCCTTCTAGTCTTTGCACAGGCACTTCCCTTTTCCTGGAACCATTTTCTCCCAGATATTTGCTTGGCTTCTCCTGTCTGTACCTTGTTCAAGTCTTTGCTCAAATGTTACATTATCAATAAAGCCTGTCCTGACCCTCCTATTTAAAATTGCTGTCTGCCCTTTGCCTCTGTACTCTCTTGCCCTGCTCTATTTTTTTTCCATGTTGTCTTCTAACATCCTATTTAATTATATTTTTAGTTCATTGTCTGCCTTCCTTTACTCGAATATAAGTTTCACAAGGGAAGGGATTTGGGTCACTGAATTTATTTCAAGCTCCCAGAACAATGCCTGGCACATGGTAGGCACTCAGTAACTATTTGTTGAATGAATGAATAAGTGCAATGAAATGATTAAATGCTGTGATACATGTGCATATAAAGAAGGTGACAACTAGAGGATGTGGGGCTCTTCAGAGGCTTGGGAGATGGGGTCATGTAATATCACAGATGATCAGAAAATAGCCCTTGTTGATTCAGCTCAAGCTGCACCATACTGGGAGCTCTTTGCGGCTAACCCAGCTTTCTGTGACTGATTGCTCTGCCTCTACATTCTAGGACCTACAGTCTCTCTCACACCTGTTCTGTAGGGATACATATATGCTAATCTTACTCAGTTTATTAGTTTGTTGCAGATTGCTTAGGAGCAGGAACTGTGTCTTATACTTCTTGATCTTGTTCCCAGGGTGCTAACACAAGCCCAGAACATACTAAGCCCTAAATGATAGATGTTGACGTCAGAGGGTCTGATTGAACTGAGGCTCCATGGCTGGCAGGGCCAGGAACATCTTTTTCTGACTCCTGCTGTATGAGTCTGTTTCTCTGTAACTCATCTTGCAACCCTTTTAGCGGTGTGTTTCTTTGCTGTTTATGGTAGTTTCTAGATAGTATTTTTATCGTGCAATATAGTCATTTTCTTCTGGCTCTATCTGCAGATCATCCCATTCTAAGATAATTAAAAGGAGATATAGGATTTTAACCAATAAGAGAAAGTTAAATTCATTTATTCATATTGTTATGGTTAATTTGCTGAAATGAAAGCTATTTTTATTTTTAAAAGTTGGTGGATATTATGCAGAACATTTTTCTCTTTAGATACTTTCTAATTGCAAAAAACTGTTTGTTTCTAGAGATTATATTAGTATCCACCATTTATAGTAAATGACTTTGAAAAAACTGCTCAGAATACAGAATCATTTTTTAAAAGTATAGGAATTACTTCACAAAAAAAAGTTTAATACAAGGCCAGGTGCGGTGGCTCACGCCTGTAATCCTAGCACTCTGGGAGGCTGAGGCGGGTGGATTGCTCAAGGTCAGGAGTTCAAAACCAGCCTGAGCAAGAGCGAGACCTCATCTCTACTCTCTTTCTACTAAAAATAGAAAGAAATTATTTGGCCAACTAAAAATATATAGAAAAAATTAGTCGAGCATGGTGGTACATGCCTGTAGTCCCAGCTACTTGGGAGGCTGAGGCAGGAGGGTCACTTGAGCCCCGGAGTTTGAGGTTGCTGTGAGCTAGGCTGACACCATGGCACTCACTCTAGCCTGAGCAGCAAAGCGAGACTCTGTCTCAAAAAAAAAAAAAAGTTCAATACATTCTTTATTTTTATAGTGGAATTCTATGCAAAGTTATTAAGTATATTACTTTAGGAATTCAGGATATGGGGGTCAAAAGGATTTTAGTACACAAGGAATTGCTTATTATTATTAAGAAGGACCTAGTATGTTTTTTTCCCAAAGTAAATATCAGTATAAATACATGTTCATTGGTAAATGTTATTTCTGTATTCATAGAATCTGTCCCATGAGAACCTCACAGAATAGAGACAAGATCCCTTCACAAAAACACTACCATTTTAAGATAATTTCTATGGCAAAAAGATTCCAACACTGTAATTTAAGTCCCACTTATTTCTAGCTAAATTTCATATTTTAAATTTTAACATCTCAAAAATGTTATTAGTTTCATAGAGGTGATTGTAGTAGAATTTTGTTAGGGAAACAGATACAATCAGTTTGTATGAACTTTATATTCTGTCTATCATTTTTGGGTAAATGAAAAATAGAAATATTTAGCTCTCTGTAGATTGTACTCTTGGTTTCTCAGACAGGGCTAGATCTAAACTTTCATTTTCTAGTGTATGTGACATAGTGTCATGGTGTCTATAAAGTAAATGTGTGATTTGTGATTTGGGTTCATACCAAAATATGATTGAAATAATTATTTATTATTGTTAAAATTTATACAATTAGTCAGCAAACATTTTCCCTATTATGTTTTAGAGGTAAAAAGTCCTCTCAAGAGTTTGGAGCTAGCATGAGACAATCTGGTTTAGAAGTAAATGCACAAGTGTATAATGATAGAAGCTTGTGTAGGATATAATGAAGGGTACAAAAGTGAGTCTAAAGAGGGAGGGAGTCAGAAAAGGGCTCATTTTTTATAAAGGTGTTTGTGCTAAGCTTTGAATGACACTTGTGTTTGTGCTGTGCAAAGTAGAAAGGGTGTTCCAGGCAAAAGGAGCAATATTGGTAAAGCAGCATCGTGTGTGTGGATGGCTGAAGTCATGAGATAGGTTGGAGCACAGGGTCATGGAAGACGGATCAAGGGGATGGGTATGTACTGGTTGCTGAGACAGGGAGAGTCAGGTAGGACTACTGCCAGGAAAGGCGATGAGTGCCACGTTAAGAGTTTCTACACTACATGGGCCGTGCCCTCTGAAGATCCTGGCATTTAACAGGTGCCTGCTATGGACCAGTTGCTTTCACATATATTCTCACATTTAGTTTTCATAGCCGTCATAATAATGTACATGATGGTATTTCCACTTTCTAGAGGAGAGGAACTGAGACAAAGTTATAACAACATGCCCTTGGTCATTTAGTTAGAGTGTACATCAAGCAATCGAGCCAGGATTTGTGACTCCAAAACCTGTACTGCTGCCGTTCTCTCAGCTCCACCATAGACTGGTTGCAGGACCATGGGCAAGTTATATGAGTCCTTTGAACTTAAGTTTGTTCATTCGTACTCAAAGGAGATTAGGTGTCTAGTTGGATTCTGGTGAAAGTTAGAAAAATCCATGGAATGTTCTTATCACGTAGTAAGTTTTCATAACGTGTTAGTTATTACACAGTTAATAATGTGCCTTGCAAAAGAAATATACCCACAAACATAATTACCTATTTAAGGTCCATGGGAAATCTACTCTGTTGGTGATCTGTCCCTCTCGGACTCTTTTTATTTTTTTTTACAACCTGTAGTTGTAAAAAATCCTGCTGTGGAGGGCACCATCCAAGGTAATGGAGATACTCTAGTTGTATATTTTCCTTACTTTTCTGACTCTATTCCTCTGTATTACTGACTAGCTCTTGGAGATCTGACCCAGGTCTCCTTTGTTCCTTGGGGAGTTAGCTGCTTTTCTTTTCAAACACCAGTCTTCATGTTCTGAGCCTATCCTGACATCCTGATTGTGATTTCCTTTGCTCTCTTCCTTGACAGTTTGGCTTTGAGAATATTCTCAAATAGTTTGCTCAATAGTCAGGGCCTAATTTCCTTGGCCTGGCAGCTCTTTCAGTTATAAACTGTATCATTTATGTCATAGTTTTTTTTGGGGGTCTCTGACTTTTATAGGATCATACCAAAACAGAGTTGGATGCTTGGAAGATTGTCAGAGTCAGTGAAAATTTCCGAGTAATCGCCTTGGGATTGCCAGTGCCGAGGTATTCTGGGAATCCATTAGACCCCCCTCTCCGTTCTCGATTTCAAGCCAGAGATATTTATTATCTACCCTTCAAGGTAAGTATGACCAAGGATAATCAATTTTTTAAAATAGTTTTTCTATTTATAACAAGAAATTCAATTCCATAAAAATGTTACTATATTTTTAGATATCCTTCTCAGAAGTTAATGGAAAGAAAAAGAGTGTAAAGAAAATCTCTGGAAACTAGGAGAAAAATTATTGTGCCATTATTTGTCTCAGAGATTTTTTTTTAAAGGCTGACTTTTCTTTTAGAAAATGAAATGATCAAGAAATTATTTTTTGCTATTAATTACTTAATGTCTGCTTAATTTCAAAGGTTAGATTGTGTCTATATAACATTTACATTTAATCAGTTACAATTCTTATTAATTTGATGTGTTTCTATGTTATTTTAGGACCAAATTAAACTATTATATTCAGTTGGAGCTAATGTTTCTGCTGAGAAGTAAGTATATTTTTATAAATTTCTGGACATTTAACATTGAATTTATTTTGCCTGTTCATTGATTGATTCATTTAACAACTATTCTTTGATGAAGTTTTTCAGTGTTAGGAGGTTTGGTAAGTGCTGGTGATAAAATTAATATTATCTTTGATGGCAAAAAACTCAACATTTAATCAAGTTGAAAGATTTCTAAATAGCTTAGTTTAACATAGTATAGTAAATGCCATAATTTAAAATATTGGGGCTATTGGTGGTTGGGACTTTGGAGTTTCACAAAGGCATTAGTATTTGAAATGGGTCCTAAAGAATGAGTAGGCTTTTGCCAGATAAAGAATAGAATCAAATAATTCTAAGAGATTTTTTTAAACCATGGGATATGAGAGTTTATGCCATGTCCTTAGGGCTATGAAAAGCTCCTGGTGGCTAGAGTTTAAGTTTGGGATTGAGAAAGGTGGGAGATGAGGCTGGTGGGGTAGATTTGGGCTAGGTTATGAAAAACCTCACATATTACAATGGATATAGGATATATGTGCATGTATCTAGTCAGTGCCTGACTTTTAAATGGAATATTATGATATAGAGCCATTGTTCTATAAGAATAGTGCAGATCATCTTTTTAGATTAATTAAACTGGCCCACCTATTTTACATTTAACAAACTTATCCATTTTGTTTTTTAAAAACTATCAAAATAAAATTTAATATCATTTTTCCCCCTAGAGTTTCTCAGCTCTTATCCTTTGCCACAACTCTCTGTTCACAAGAATCATCTACTCTTGGACTTCCAGATTTTCCTTTAGATAGTTTACCAGATGCAGTTCAAATCCTGGTATGTATAAAATAAATTAATAATTGGTATGCCCAAATGTAGCAAAGATAATTTGAAAGTTATTTATTGGGTATTAATCACTTCAGTTTGCCTTGTCACATTCCTATATAAATATTGCAAGACCTGAGACCTAATTTGTTGTACAGTGCAGTAAACTGTACAGAGACCAATGACATGTTCTGAGTCCCTAAAGAACTTACAGCTTTGGAGTAGGAGGTAGACATGCAATCTCAGTAGAAGTTACACAGAAGGAAGGAGGACTTCAGCCTAATCAAGTAAGAGGTGTGCTGCAGGGTGAGTTAGGCCTCAGAGCCATCCCAGCCTGAGCCTGGGGAGCTGGGGCTTTCATGCTCTAGCACCCGCCTGTCATTGGGTAATGGTCATCTTCCGGGACACAAATTCCTAGGCACTAGTGGCTCTCCCAGCATGTAAGCAAAGCTGGCTTCTAGAGCCTAAGGGCAATCTTTTTAAAAAGTCCTGCAGCACCTAGCAGTTGGAAGGGGAAGCTGAGAGGCACACAGAAAGAATATAAACAGATCTGAGAGAATTTGATAGGATAGAGACATTGTCCACTACATTTTCACAATGGGCATGGCAGTTGTGTCTGGAGTGATTGAAAGGCCTTCCAGGCAGAGGGCAAAGCATGGACAAAGGTGTTCAATCACAAATGAGCCTGGTATGTTTGGAGAATGGGAGTATGTTTTATACCTAGAACAAGTGTGTGTGGTGGAGGGAGAGGCTGTGAAATGTTTTTCATGGTGAATGAAGTTGCCTGGATTTTATGATGTGGGAGAAGTGGCTAATCAAACATTATGAAGTAGGTGGGGTGTGAAGTGATCAGATGTATGTTTGAGGACAACACCCTTGTTGGCGGTGAGGAGGGCTGGAGAGAACCTGGATGCACAGGGAACAAGTAGGCATTTGTAATACTCAGTGAGACCCTGCTGCGAGGGACCTTCCAAGGTAGTGGAGATACTGTCTTCAGCAAGAGACGTTTATTTTTAAATACTTTCTTGTGTGTGTTTGTTCATTTCTTTATGTTTCCTGAGTCAGGGAATTAGGTATTGTTTACATTGTTCTATACATCCAGAACAGCATTTCTTCTCCTGTTTATCAAATCTTATACTTTTTATTGTTTTTGTTTAGAACTTTTTATTCTGAAAATTCTCAAATCTAAAAAAAGTTCAGAAATAGTAAAGCACCTACAATCCCTTCACCTATAACCACCCATTGTTAATATATTGCCACATTTGCTTGCTTGTACTCTCTCCTTTTCTTTTCTTTTTTTCCTGAACCATTCAAAAGTAAACGGCAGTCTTTATTCTTAAATACTTCAGTATGCAATTTCAAATAACATTCTTCTGTAAAACATGAACACTGATATCATACTCTGTACCATATTAATAATAATTCTATAATAGCATCTAATAGACACTTCTGAAATTTCCTTAATTGTTTCTGTCAATAAACTTTAAAGTGGGGTGAACAGAAATGAGAGTGCAATTTGATTTTGGGAAGTATTTAAGGATAACAAACACTTTCTAAAGTTATATAACTGCAAAGTGGGGTGAATGTGGATGAGATAAACTCTAGGAATAAAGAAGGATGAGGTACTTTGGAATGAATAGGGTAGGGAAATGTGTTTGGTTTTAAGTGAGAGTCTGTGAGATACTCATATAATTACGTGTAATAGACAATTGAGAGTTCAGGTCTGCAGCTTAAGAAAGAGGTAAGGACTAGACATAGAAGCATGGGAGCCACCAACACAGATGATAGATGAAAGATGAGAGTACGTCGTAAGCTTACCTAGGAAAGGGTTATGGGATAGGAAGAGAACAGGAAATAATGAATATTTGCTTTTGTAGACTTCTAGAACATACCAGAAACCTGTTGGTTATTCTTATAAGGCAATTTTAATGTCAAATGTACATTTCAGATAAATTTTCTGTGATTATTTTAGATATTGCTCATTCCTACATATTTTTGCTTCTTAATAGGATTCCTTTCCCATGATGTCAATCAAGCATGCAATCCAGTGGCTTTATCCATACACTATTTTACTAGGGCATGAAGGGAAGATGGCTGTGGAAGGTGTTTTAAAAGTAAGTATCTGCTTCCTTTTCCCATTTTCCTTCCCCTTGCCTTCCCTTTTCTTCTTTTCCCAGGAGTGGAGGGATTGGCATGCCAGTAATGAGAAAGCACTGGGGGGAAGGAAGCAAGCATGGAGGGGTGGTGTGGTTGGGAGATTGGTTACGTAGAACAAAGATGTTATTGAGGATAATAAAAGCTATGTTTCTCACTGTTGGAGAAGGGATTTATAAACATGGAAGGGGGGGGGGGATAAGAGAGAAAGAGAGAACCCTTGGTGTTGGATTGGAATTGGAGATGTCATTATGAATCATGTTTTCTTTTTCAATATATATGAACAGGCAGATATAGTAGTAGATGTAGATAGTATATGGGTATACACATATATATTTTCTAGTTGTCCCTGAGAAAGCCTAAAAACTATGATGCCTCAATAGCAATGATCAGACTAAGTGCCTGGTCTTTGATTTGTAAATACCATGCTCTTCTAAAAGGAATGAGGACTCCTTGGAAGTAAGGCTGACTTAAAGATCAGGCCAAGGGACACACAAGATGAGCCTGAACTATCGTATTGTGCCAGAAAATAAGGCAATGTTTAACAAATGATGTTATCATATCAAAATGACAGACGAGCCAACCTGAAGTAGCTGAAACCTGGGAAAGCGTGAACATAAAAACAAATAATGATTGTAATTGATTATAACCCATTGTATAAACTAGGAATCGGTAAGTCCATACTGATATAAATAAATTTAAAAAACGGGAGAGAATGAAAATCTCTTCCTTAGTGCAAAATGCCTATTGTAGAAGGAATTATACAAATAGAATTATATAAATAGGTCATCATTTGGTAGCCATCAGTGGTGGTTGATTTAGGCAGGTGTCATCAAAGAATGTTAAAGCTGGCAGATGGAGCTTCCGTGAGGGATGGGATATTAGCATAATCTCTGATTATCTCCCTTCCAAATACTCAGCTGACCACAAAGCAGGAAAGTGGTATTTTTGCAATAAACACCAACTTGATCAGGTGGGACAAATCAGCATTGTATGTCTCCCAAGTCTTGTGCTGAGAAGAGTATCATTTCTGGGGAATTTCTGTTGAGAATTTATGACATGAGTTTGGCCATTAGGAAATATTGTATAGACCTAGGTTGAGGGCATCCTACAGAACAATAGGCCTATATTCTTTAAAATCATTCAGTCCATGAAAGGTAGGGAAAATCTGAAGAAATGTTCCAAGTTGAAGGAGACTGAAGAGATATGACAGCTAAATGCATCATATGTTCCTGCATTGGATCTTGGACCAGATGGGAACAAATGACATTGTTGGCATAATTAGTAAAACTTGAATTAGTCTGTAGATTGGAAAGTAGCGTTGTATTAAATTGATTTCCTGATTTGGAGGCTTATATGGTGATGACATTGGCTAGAGTTCTTGTTTTCAGGAAATATGAACTGGAATGTTTAGGGGTAGAGGGGTATCATATCTGCAGCCTGCTTTTAAATTGGTCAGAGAAAGATCAAGGATAAAGTGTTTTGGGTTGGGGGGAATAAGAGGGAGGGAAAAAATGTGCTAAAATGTTAATTGCTGTGAGATCCAGATGAAGGCGAAATAGAAGTTCTCTGTACAAATATGTCCCGCAACTTTCCTATAAATTTGAAATTATTTCAAAATCAAAAATTTTAAAAAGTAAATATCCAATATAGCGCATATAAAAATAAATTTTAAAAGCAAATATGTAATATAATACTAAGTTAAAATTTATCTGTCTATAACTTAAATTATTAACTTGAAAAGCACATATGCTTTATAAAACTATGGAAATTGCTATAAGTACTATCATTCAAACTAATGAAGTTCTCACATTTTTGTCATAAGTACCTTATAATACATGGGGCACGATTTTCTTTTAAAATATGTACAGCATAATTTTCTGATAGTATAGTTAACAGTATGTTTTCTAAATGGCCAATCATACTATGTGGTGTTTTAAAACTATATATTTAAAAGTGTTGACTCTTGGTATTTATTGGTTTACTCAAATTGGTTTTTTTTTAGGAAAGACAGTTTTTTGTTTTTCTTTTACAGTTTGGTTTGAGGTGCAGATTTCCAAGGAATAGGTAGAATGAGAACTCGAAGCTGTTGTGCTTTATTTAAAGGACTTTAATTTTCTGGAGGCCGGGATTTGACAGCTTAAGCGTATGGAATGATATTTCTTTCTCCCTTACACTCAAATCTATACAGAGTCTTTGGGAGTACAGAAGTACCCTCCATGAATTGATTAATAGTGAGAAGAACTCAGAAGAGTAGAATGTGATTCTAATTATTTCAGTCAGATTATTTCTAGATCATCTAGCCGGAGAGCCCGGAGAAACAATATTTTCATTGACTGGCAATGTCAATAATAATAACAACAATAATAATAAAAATAGTAAAAATTTGTTTCTCATACATAATGAGAAGTATAGTTAAGGACAAAACTAAAAGAAAAGTATAAAGAAACAAGGGGAAAATAATGGTCAATAATGACCATGTAGAAGAGACAGCAGAAAATAGAAGCAGGAAATAGCAGCCACTGATGAAAGAGAAAGAGGTCTTCTCTGTGTGTGAGGGAGAGGGAGAGAGACAAGGAGCAGGAGGTGGAACAGTAGCAGGAAAAGGAAGAAGAGGAGGAAGAACAGGGATGATATTAAGATCTATTTTGAAATGAAATTAATTCATAGTGTCATGGAATCAGGAAGTTACCCTCTTCTTAGAACTGGAACTTATCTTTGATTTAATCAACATCGGAGCTATATTTGCAGTGGTTGTTGAAGTAGAGCACTTAGTATTTAAGATCAAAGGCTGCGATTCCAGATCAGCTTCCTCAGTGTCCTCAGCACAACGCGCAGTGCCTTGGGAACAAGGGCACATACTCAGGGAGGAAAAAACTGATGAAAGGAAACAATCTAAAGTGTTTTGTGTTTTTTTTTTGGTGGCATAACTGAGAGAAGATATTCAGTGTCTAGATAAGTCAGTTATGAACAAAGGTCTTTACAAAGAAACTTCGATGTGTTTCTGGTTTCCAATTTCAAAACTAATCATACAAATTATATAAACTTATAGAATACCTTTAAAGAGTTGTATTTTCTGAACAAAGTAGCTAGTGTTGCTTCATTCTCTTGGCCTTTATTTTGACCTTCATAATTAAGGGAAACATAGAAAAATTATTAAGTGTTTATATTATCAACAGAAATTATTTGAAATTTGATTGTAGAGCTTTTAAAAAAGGAAAAAAAGATTGGTATTACTTAGATAAGATGAGAAAGAGTGTGGCTAACTTCTTACCTTAATTATATGAAGAGCTAATTAGGACAGTTCTAACTCAGTAGATAGTGAAGTGGGAGGGCTTAGGTTTATTTGTCTCAACCTAATGAAGAACTTTCTTTTTGTAAAATCATTACACACTGATATATCCAAGCCTATCAGAATCTTAAATATCTTTCCCTAAGAGTAGAATAGTCTTCTCTTTGGTATAATTCGTTGAGATCTATTCTGGGGCAGCGTTTGTGGTCTGTTTCTTATTCTAAGTTTCTACATTTTCCTCAAAGCATTATCTTAAGCTGATGTTCATAGATGAATAAAATATTATATATCCTCAAGTAATTTTGAATAAGAGAGGTGAAAATTAAGGAAATATTGTTGAATTTGGAAAAAATGTTAAAGAAATAGAAATATCTATTATAATAGCAAATTAAGAAGGTACATATCTGCATATAATAATTTTTCCTTGATAAATGATAATTATCTTCTCTCCTAGATTGTCACAGAAATTAGTGAATAGTTGTATTTGAATTAGATATCTATTTGACTTTTAGTGTAATCACTTGATTAGACTGTCTTTTTAAGGAAAAAATGTTACTCACTGAAAATGTTGTCAGCTAAAATTCAGAACACCTTTTTTTCTGAACAAGCTATAAAAATGGCTGGAATGACTTTCATTCCCCAGATGGTACTTATCATATGATGTTCATACTCTAAAAACATGTTTCCGTAGTCATAAAATCACTTCTAGCTTTTAGTTAAGGATATCTTAAATAAAATACTCTCATTCTGAATCTCCTGTACTTTGAGAATGGTGTGCCTTTGTCACAGTTTAGTAACAAATACATCCAGGCTTCTAGTAGCATGCCTTGGCTCTTGGGCCTGTTAAATTAGTAAGTTCCCTTCATGATTTAGAAAGGATATACTGCCACTTATCCATTGGTAATATAAACTGAGCCAGAGTTTTTGCTAAGAAACTTGGAAGGATCTTGCATTTAGTGTTTTCATTCAGTTTAACAAACATCAATTGAGCATTCATTATTTGGCAAATGATGACATGCATGCAGAAATGTAGGGATACAGAAATGGGTACAGTCAGATCTCTAGCGGAACCTACAGTCAATGTCTGAGGAGTATCAGATGTTCTAATAAATATTATAATGATTTTATAGCAGTCTAGCATAATGGTGAATTTCTATGGTCAAAGCAATAACAACCTGAAGTAGATCAGTGAAATAGGAATTAAATGGATATGAAAAATGTTTCAGAGGTGGGATGACAGATGTTACTAGCTGATGAAATATAAGGTGAGTTGGGAGGCTATGAGAAAAAGTGCGAAATCAAGAATGTCCGTGATTCCTAGCTTGGGCAAGTGAATAAATAGAGATTCTATTAACTAACATGAGAAAGTTGAGAGAAGGAACACATTTGGGGTAGGGGGCTAAATAATTCCATACAGTGGGATCCCTTTGAATTTGAGGTTTCTAATTTTATCTAGCAGACCTGAATATATGGATCTGGTTCTAGAGGTATTTTGATACTAAAGATAAATACTTGGGGAGTCATTAATGTACAGGTATTAGTTGAATTCATGGGGATGGATTAAAGAACTGAATGGGAGCAAGTATAATGAGAAGAAAAACTGGCTGAAGACTGAACATTTAAGGATTGGATAGTGGGAAAGACCTTCAAATGAGGCAGAAGAAGAGC